GGTGCACTGCCGTTGCGACAAAGAGGTACCGAAATCATACTACGAGTTTATGAGAAATAACCCATGCCCGTGGTTTTGGTACATCTGTCCACTCTGTCGCCCTGGTGTAGTCACACAGAGCGTGTCTGCGGTTAGCAGAAACAACACGCCGCCCTTGTGTCCCAACACGGTCTTATGTAGCTCCCCACCTGCTAACGTCACATTGCCAAAACTTGGCACAGACAGTAAGAAGGACACTCCTGTCCTACTGACCGAAAATGCCAATTTTCACAAGGTGAAGATTCATAAGGCTGGACCTAAAAAATCAAGGAAAGATAGAGTTAGAGAAGCACCACTTGCATCCACAAGCAAGCTTGGCAACACAATAAAGGCTGGTCAGAACCCGATGAAGCCTAAAGTTGCTGATGCTGCAAAGGAATATGAGAAGCCAAAGGCCAAACCTAAGTCTGAGGTTAATCGGTCTAATTCGCTCATCCTCTTTAACGTACCTGTGAGCAAGGACAGCTTGCTTGAACAGCGGGCCCTGTTTGATCAGGAACAGTGGTCCAACCTGTGCAATAAACTAGGTCTGAATATTAGTTCAGTGAAATTGTGCAGGCTGTACAGGGGTGTCCACACACCTCAAGGTAAGCCACCCCCATTACGGGTTACACTGGACTCTGCCGAAGAGGCCGAAAAGGTACTATTGATGGCTCAGGTACTAGCCATCGACAGAAGCTCTAACATAAGGGTGAGACAAGACAGACCATGGGCTGTCAGACAAATGGCAAGGGAGTCACCGGAACTTTTGCCTTCCACCTCTATGGTAGTGCACGGTGTCCCGGAGCTGGAAACGGGCACTGCCTGTGAAAAACACATGCATGACGTACAGCAGTGGAGATGGCTGTCGTCTCAGATGGCCCTTGGCGCTTCTGGAGCCATCTCCGTTTACCGACTACCTCGCCCCGCTCATCTCACACTGATTAGCTCCCCAAGGCTGCTTAGTGTCACATTCAACTCCCCAGAGCAGTTGGCCATAACACTTCAACGGTGGTATGAGATCAAGGGGAAATTGGGAGGAAACATCCGATGTTGCGAAAGCAGACCTCGAACCATAAGGAGGCAGCAAACTGAGGCTTTAATACGTCCCCAAGCTTCAGTGACACTCGAGCGATGCAGTTCTGAGAATAACAGTCTGTGCCACCCAAGTGTCCTGCCTAAATCCAAGGGAAAAAACCACAATGGGCCGGTTCCATCGGAACTGGCCAATTAGTCCCAACACTAAGTTCCCTACCAGCAGATAGCTTCACGTCAACTACCCCACAACACGCTGAGGTTGTAAGACTCACTGTCAGCTGCCTGTATAGCAATGTGAGGGGGCTGAGAGTAAAAATAGGTGAACTCCGAAATCTCCAAGCACACCTACAACTGAAAATAATCATTCTCACCGAAACATGGCTAACCCCCACTATCGCCGATAATGAAATCAGTATAGGTGATATGGTTTTGGTCAGGAGAGACAGGGACAATAAGGAAGGAGGGGGAGTTGCCATATACTTTGATAGGCAACTTAAATGTGTTCGCGCAACGGACCCACCACTTATTGAACTCCCAGACTCCATATGGTGTCATTTCACCGTAGGCCACACCAAGCATTTACTTGGTGGCATCTACCGATCTCCCACCTGTGGGGCAGAGCACAATCAGCTACTGCTCAGCACTATCACAGGGATACGAGACTTGGGCTATGACCAAATCACCATTGCTGGAGATTTCAATGCCCCATCACTGAACCTTGGCTCGGGGTATGCTAAGGGAAAATTCGGCCGAAATCTACTGCAAGCTATTCGGGACACGGGACTGACTGAGAATGTTGGAGACGACACTAGGTGGGGCCCTAGTGGAAAGTCATCAAAACTAGACTACATTCTAACTAGTGACCAACTACTCGTCGAAAAGGTCCAGGTCATGACTCCTCTAGGAAGTAGTGACCATGCAGTCATAGGTTTCGACCTCGTTCTCCGTGAGCACTTGCAGTGGGACGCTACGCAACCATGTCTGTGTTACAGCAAGGCTGACTACGCTGAAATGCGGAGGCTCTTGTTCGATGCAGACTGGCCCTTAGCATGGGATGAGCTGTCTGTGGATGAACACTGGGAAGCGGTAAAAAAGATTATTCATACAGCGATCTCGGATACCGTCCCTTTAGTCACAGCACAGCCAAAAAGAAAATCATCATGGTTAAAGAGAGGCACGCAGCGTATTCTGCAAGCAAAGAGGAAGGCTTGGTTTACGTGGCGCGTATCTGGAAGCCAGATCGACCATGATGCATACCTGGAACTCAGGAACCGGTGCAATGCAAGAGTCAGGAGGGACAGAAGGTCATTCCAGGCTAACCTTGCTAAAAAACTCCTGGCAAACCCGAAGAATTTGTACCGATTCATGTCGGAAAGGAAACCAACCAACCAAGGGGCTTGCGCCTTAGTAGGCCAAAACGGTCAATATCTCACTAGTCTGGAGATGGCTGAAACATTCAGTTTAGCCTTCGCCAAACAGCTAAACAGCAATGTGGGTATTACCGTTACGAACCAAAATGGTGGCATGACTATTTCACAGGAGGAAGACCAAATAGCCACCCCTCAAATAAACCCTGCAATAGTACTGAGAAAGCTGCAGCGACTTATACCTGGGAAGTCCCCAGGTTGTGATGACATCAGGCCATCTGTTCTGAAACAGTGCGCCGAAGCTCTCTGTAGGCCTTTATGCGACTTGTTCCAACACTCCATGGAATCGGGGAAACTGCCAAAGGAATGGAAAAGAAGCATCCTTTCTCCGATCTTCAAGGGTGGGGATAGGCAAAATCCCACCAGTTATAGACCAGTAGCTCTACTCCCAGTGGTATCGAAAGTACTGGAAAGTATTATTGATGATCACATCAGGGAATATCTGGATAGGTCTAAAATACTCCATGAAGCCCAACACGGTTTCAGGAAAGGAAGATCCTGCGTCACTAACTTATTATCAGCTTGGGACGATTGGACATCATGCTGGGATATGAATGTTCCTGTCCATGTGATCTTTCTAGACTTTGAGAAGGCATTTGACACTGTTCACCATGACCTTCTCCTACACAAAATAAGCCAGGTAGGTCTAGGTAAACCACTTCTGTCATGGTTGAAGGACTACCTAACTGAAAGGCAATTTTGCACCAAGGTCAACCGAGTCCGATCATCTTGGCACAGCTCGTCATCAGGAGTGTCGCAGGGTTCTATCCTGGGACCACTGATGTTCTTGATTTTTATCAATGATTTACCATGCCGTCTAAACTGCCCGACTCTTCTATACGCTGATGACGTAAAGATATGGAGGGCGGTAAAGTGTCCGGAGGACTCAGATAGGCTGCAGGCAGATCTAAGGCTTCTGGAAGACTGGGCGGTAACCAGTGGAATGACTTTCAACCTGAAAAAGTGCAAAGTAGTGAAGTTACGCACCTGTAGACTGCAGAATGCAAGTTACACCCTGTGCAATGAAAGCTTGTCCTGCTCAACGTCGGAACGTGACTTAGGTCTAGTTCTAACGGAGAAAATGGACACAAGCGTGAATTACACGGGGGATGTAGCGAGGGCATATGCGGTCATACACTTTACACATAGACAATTAGGTGCACTCACTCCTGAGCTCTTTCTAAGGTTGTATAAAACATACGTCAGACCGCATCTTGAAGTGCATAATATCATTGCACCCCCACTGCTTAAAAGAGACGCCAACCTCTTGGAAAGAGCCCAACGACGGGCAACAAAAGGAGTGGTTGGACTCCGAAATAAACCATATGACGAAAGGCTGAAGAAATTAGGCCTATTCACACTCAGTTACCGTCGCCTGAGGGGGGATTTAATTACTGCCTACAAAATAACAAATGATCAGAATCACCCGAACAAAGGTGTTCTGCCATTGAGTAGGTATAGGCTCCCTCGTGGAAATCCCAGAAGGATAGCTCATCAGAGGGCAAGGACCCGGGTGCGCTCCCACTTCTTTTCCCTGCGGGTTTGCCGTCCCTGGAATTCCTTACCGGCAGATGTAGCTATGGCACCATCTGTGGACGCCTTTAAGCGAAGGCTGGACAACCTTGCAGTGACACAAGGACTGTATCCAAATGGCCTATCCCCTTAAAATCGCATATACCATTCAAAGATAGACAATTAAACTGGTCGTTTTACTTCTTCACATTCCCTTCAGTCTTACTCTCCTGACAGCTTTAACTACACTTATTATTATTATTGTTATTATTATTATTATCATTATTACTGGTATATATTATATATATATATGTATACCGGTTGACTGACTGTTGTTACGTTTTCTTATTTTTTTTTCTCTGTCTGTTAGTCTGAATACCTTTACTAATTATATCTATTATTATTATTATTATCTCTTTTCCATTGACGACGATACCGAAAGACTAACTGGTGAAAGGATCAACTCCATTCACAGTAGTAACAGTCTTAACACACTTCATACTACAGACGCCATATAATTAATCCCAGCACTACTCCTGTTGGAGTCAACCAAAGCTACGACAGTCGAGTGGCGGGACGAGCTACACAGACGTTTACCAAAGATCAGGAACCTCTACCTTACAATCAAGAGGCGAGCGCAAAGAAATCAAATTGGTTTATACTAGCTCGTAAAAAGATATTGGATATTGGATATTGGAGTCAACCAAAGCTACGACAGTCGAGTGGCGGGACGAGCTACACAGACGTTTACCAAAGATCAGGAACCTCTACCTTACAATCAAGAGGCGAGCGCAAAGAAATCAAATTGGTTTATACTAGCTCGTAAAAAGATATTGGATATTGGATATTGGAGTCAACCAAAGCTACGACAGTCGAGTGGCGGGACGAACTACACAGAAGTTTACCGAAGACCAGGAACAATTAGCTCACAATCAAGAAGCGAGCACAAAGAAATTAATTTAGTTTATATTAGCTCGAGAAACGATATTGGATATTGGATTGAATGTTGAACTGCTTGTCGTCTTGGTTACAAAAAGCGGGTGTACGATGTCAGAATTATTGGCCCAAGCTGGATTGTATATCGATGATTTTTATAAACTGAGGATAGTTGATCCAAAAGTCACTCAGGAGACCAACGAACTTAAGGAAGAATGTGAAAAATACATTACAAGTATGTCATAACTTCAAGTTGATATGCTTGAGATATTTCGAGCCTTCTTAAACTTTATAAGTTACTTAAAAGGTTTACTGTATTAGCGTTCTTTCATCATTTCAGTATACAGAGCTTGATTTTCGCATTTGTCAGTAATGCGGTTGCGTCATTTGTGGTATGCGTACAAGATGAATAAATTCAACTCTAAATTACATGATTTTGTGTTTTGTAGACCTTATCATGTAACACTAGTAGTAAAAAAATGTCAGATTGGGCTATACCACTTGCTGATGAATTTCTTGTGGATGATTCAGTATTTCTTTAGCTTTCGACACAATATTTTGTTAGAATGTTTTGAAAGCTTTCAAGAACTAAGGCGATATGAAGAGGTGTCCGCGTTGTAGGCATGAGACGTGTATTTTCATGAGAGTTCTGTGGATCATTTTTTTAATCATAATGTAGAGCTTTTGGAACGAATTTATCTTTTACTTAGTTTCTTTGCCGCCATTTCCCAAATATAGAGTCTTTGTTTTTTTGTTCCTTCTCTCCCCCAGCCAGCCATTTTTTTGGGCGCATTGCAGACTTATTGGGGCAGACTTCGGGTGCATTGCAGACTTTTTTGGGCAGTCTTCGGGGCGAATACTCAAGAACGGCAATGCGCCCAAAGGTTTTTGCCCCGAAAAGTCTGCAGTGCCCCCGAAGAAAATGCTAGCTGGGCCGATGTCTAGTATCGAAGAAAAGTGATTACTTCTGAATATTTGAAGGCCATAGCAAACAATTTGGGTTCCTTTAGACGGATCGTATGTTCCTTAAGATAATACGTCCATGTATGTAGCAGTGGAATAAATATGAGGATATTTTAATTTACCTCTAAGGGTTCCAAATAGTAGGGAATCCTACTAAATTCCTCTACTTGTCAAAATCTAGTAAGTTGATGGAGGTCAAACTCACATCTGGCAGTCTTTTCAATAATCATTCAGTCCATTTAATACAAGTGTTGTTGTTCTACACTTTTTAACCTTTGGAAGCGTTAAGATGTCTCCTGCAATCTAAGGTAATCTGGTAATACTTTATTCGGCATTTCTTCGAACTGACTGACAACAAACTAGGAAGACCGCAGTTATTCATTTATAGTAATTTTACATACGACAGTATATGGGTGACCAGTGGGACACTATTCTCATATGACACGGACTGAGAAGTGGAAATTCGCTTTTCAAGGAGAAGGGCTTTGATTTTTAATTTACAGGCGATGAAAAAACTTAGTTTTGGTTGACTGGTGTGGATTGGAACTTTTTCGTGGACTCCATAACTGTGACTTCCGTAATACAAGTGCTTTTCACTTATTTCTTGAATTTGGAAACGTAAGATGAGAAAAGTAGGTCCTTGATATTACCTCTGTTGTGCGCTGCTATGACAACAGTTCCCTTCACAGTACCAGGAGATTTCTTTTTCAGTAATGGTATTTTAAAGTAACTGCTAGAATACAACAAAACATATCTGCACAATCCGTTGGAACTGGTAGTCTTGTGTTATTGGCCGTAGGTCACTTAGGGAAATTCAAAGCTGATAAATGCTAAACGGGACTTGTGAAGGAAGCTAAATACTAGGAACATATACCGTGTTCTATTCTAATTGGTGCCTTCACGCAATACATTACAAAGAATTTTCATTTGAGGCGGCCTCAACCAACGATATTCATCAGGAATGCTCACTATGACCATTTTTACTAAATTTCATTGTGGATGTACTGGTGAATAAGGCTCTGCTTGATTTCAGTGTCCAACAAATTGACTTGTTTTGGTCGAAATGATTCGTTGTTCTAGACTACGCAGACAATACAGTATTTTTAAGTGGAAGTAGTAGCAAAATGAAGACTATTCTGAACATCTTGAATAAAAAGTCAGTATCTTCGGCTTGTGATTTGACTTTATCAGATGCAATATTATACTGTTGGATTGGTCTGTAACAACTGTAAGTTTAAAGATAGGGAATGAAATGATTGGATGTGTCAACCGCCTTAAATATTTTAGACGTTTCATTAGCCTTAATGAACTGGTTGCTAACAAAATGTCAGCATGTATACAAACGGTTTGTGTGGTATCCGCCAACTTGGGTCATCTTTTGCGTTAGCATTATACCTGCTTATCCATCTGATAACATGCATATTGCCCAGATATTCCCTATGTCTTACCTAATTAGTGTGAAATACGACTTTTGGAAGTGCAAGAAGCCAAGATATTAGTGGTTTATAACCATGGGTATCTCTATTGACGACTTCGTGTTAGATGGGTGCAGAGTGTTAGGTAAGCAGAGGAAGTCCACCTCTAGAGTGGCGGAGATTAGGCGGTTTATATGTTTTGAAAATGTGTTGCTCACTCCGAGCCACCGAATTCACCGTTGAGTGTTGTTAGTTGAAATTGAAGTAGGCAGCAGATTAGTTAGGAGTGGTCAAACTAAGAGGCTTTGACTCTGGGTCTGATTCTTATACGAAGGCGTAAACCGTTGATATAAGAATAAAACTTGTGCACTGTGGTAGAGTAAACTTCCATTATGGGAAAAATTTATTTTGAGAAAGTCTCACGGTGTTCTTACGGCTTGTTTCAAAGAAGGAATTTTCCTACACTTTTTAAGCCTTAGAATGTTTTGACATGATTTTCAACAATAACTTAAGTATCATACTCAAAGTTATTTTACGTTAACAGCTGTAGACAAATGGTCGTTCACCAAATTAGAAAGCTGTGGGCAAGTTTCATGAGTAGATGCAGTATTTTTTGGTCCAAATTCTTAAAAGGTAAATGTTTTGTGACACTTTTGATCAGCTGTTTAAGAATATCTGCTTCTGTGGCACTAATAACAGCCTATTTACTGTCATAGCATTATAACTAGCCAAAGCATTTCCCAATGAGTTTATATCACTAAAACCTTTATTTCTGTTGAAATTAACGCTGATCATTGTGCAATTCTTTTCTATTTATAGAAATGACTGACTTTCAAGTAATTGTTGGTGATCTCCTCAATTTAATTAGTTTTGTTGCCGAAAAAGTTGAATCACAGAAATTAAAAGTTTGTTTAATAGAAAGATATATACTATTTTATTATTTAGGCAATCGGTTCACGAAATTTACTTGTGTCTATTGAAAAACAAAGGCAATCACAACAGAAACATTTGGAATCTCAAATTTTAAAGAAAAAGAAAGATATCGAACGGTAAGCTTTGGGACATATTTTTCTTCAGAATAGGTTTCGTGAATCCTTTACATAGAGTATTTTTTAACTGTTCTAGTGATTTTCCAAATAACCAGTTTCCACAGTTTTCAGGCAGGTGCCGAGTCTATTAATCTAAATACTAAACAAATTTTAATTTCACTTAAATTACGTGACTTTTTTTTATCGGTTGTCACTTGGGTCTTCTAACGCAATCGGTCTTAAGTGATCTAAAGGTTAGTTCATACTTCAACTGTAGTTTTAAGTTAATTAAAAAGGGTCATTTTAGTTAGTTAGGCAAACAGTTTGACGATTGTTTTTTTAACACAATATGCGAGGCTATCATGGGGTTTTCCTTTAGTAAATGTCTAATTAAATAAGCAAAAAATGTCTTTCATGTATGACCAGCTACTTGAACTAGATCATTCAGCACCATGCAATTTATCCTCTAAAGTAATGTGCAGGGCCAGATTTAGTCATTCTAAAATATTTTAAGATTCCTCGACTTAGGCATAGCCAAAGTTCTAGCTATATATGTACGAAAACCTAAAATATGTTTTCAAAACGTTTTGTTAAACCCTTCCCTTGGGTCGTAGTAATGTTATTTTTTTTGAATATGAATGCTTGAATTCATTCCGCTCCACTTCATCTTCACCTTTTTATTGTTATCATCACCGCACTTTTAATTTTTTGAAAATACTTGACCTAATTTCAGAATCTCCAGAGCAGGTCATTTATCTTATAATCATTTAACGTGTTGTAATTCATCGATTTCAACTCTAACCCTTTAACCATGTTGTTAATTATCTTTATTCTCATCATGTGTAAATTGACTGTGCAATTTTTGGTACCACTTAATGCCTTTTTCCGTGATAAATATACTACTGTACAGCTTGGAAATGAAGTCACTGAAAAGAAGTATTTCTTCTTTGAGTTCTAGATCTACTATTAACTTGTCCAGAGACCAGTTTACTTGCTGAAACATGAATTGTGATTTGGCAAGATCAAAAATTTGCTTATACTGACAGAAATGGGAGGTCTGTTGGCATACAATAGCTGCGCTAGGTAAATTGAAAGGAGATGAAACCATAGAACACATGGTGCGCAGAATAAACCTTTGATTTTGTATAAAACATCAGCACTATAAGAAGTCTGTCATCGTTGATTTGATCCACCATCTCCTTACAAACTTGCTGCATGTTTGTTCAGCTTCGTTTTTTGTGGTATTGTGAAGAGTGACAACTTCAACTGAGTCAACTCTATTCAGTTTCCTACCGTCATGTCTTTGTTTATCTGGTTTATAAGTGGGACAATTACAATGTCATTTAGTATACGCTCATTGCACTGAATGTGTTGAATCTCATGTAGGCTGAATATCTAAACGATGTAGTTAGCTTAATACACCTTGAGACAAAATTGTGTTTTTTTCAGCAAGTCCTATTTGTTTTTAGAGTTTGTCTGCGGATTGATATCAATTAGAGAACCATTGAAAACAAGCACTGGAGTGCTGGGCAGCTGTTTCATCCTAGTTCTTTTGGAAATCATCGGCGGTAAAGTCCCACCGCCGGAGCTCGAACTCACGACCTTCCGGTTACAATGCAAGCTCGAAAACCATTCAGCCACTAGGACCCGATTCTTTGGTCAGACCATGAATTGTAACTTCTATGAATTCGTGATTTTAGCACTACTGGCACCAACCGATGTGATCAGTGGGCCTCACTGGTCACGACTTCTCACTTCGTTCTGTAGCAAGTCTAACTGATATCAATCCGTGGTCAAGTTGAAAAAACAAATCTCATCCTTACAAATCAACTCTTAAGTCCTATTTATTCAATCGTTGTGTTAACAAAATTTGTTTAAGTGGCTTTTATTTAACTTATTTGAATGAGCATACAAACTTTGACTGGTTTCTGAATTAGTTGACGTAAGTTGTCTTATGGACTGACGTTTGGACTTATTACAAATTTAGTATTCTAAATTTTGATATGAAAATCATTGAAATATAGTCGGTTTCCTTGTAACTGGTTCGTTAATATTTCTGCATGAGATAGAAAAATTGAAAAGTAGTTAATAAGAATAGTATGTCACAAATGTATACCGAATTTCTTATGAGCATTTATACTTATCTACAATTGCGTAAACTGAAATTTTAAGTAGTGTAGAACAAGATTTGTAGTTTGAGATATCTGATTGGTGAGTGAGCCTGCTCAACTACAATTTGAAATATGTGTCACGTTGAAAGTAATACAAGCTGCGTACTTAAAAATACGACGAGAGGACAGCGCCTGAAGGTATTTTATATTCTCGTAGAATAACAACCAATAGGTACGCGGACATGGAACTGATATGCCGATTTCTAAGAGGAAGCCAATCAATTAAGAATTATTTACCGTATTTTGAAGGAATATTCCTGTAGGTTTTATCGTACCAGAAAAATTTGTTGAACAGAGGTTAGACTAAAAGCCCTTACCATTATACTGTAAATAATGTGCATCATTTTTGGAGTCTGAGGACAAGGTTGTGCTGCTTACGCGTAGGGGTACTACAGAAGTAAGGTGTTTCCCTAAGACTACCAGCAAGCCAGTTATACTGTCTTTTCGCTTTGAGGAAGGAGGTTATGAAAGGTCGGCTCAAAAGTTGTACATTCCGACTATCCCTACGTCTGTTCGTAGCTGGCTATAAAGCCTTCGTGCAGACACAACTCCAAGCAGTCTGTGTAACTGACTTCAAGTAGGTGTCTTATAGTAACGTAACACTAACGCTTTTTCTCTTTCACGTACTTTAAAATGCATATTTGTACACCAGAAAAGCTTCACTTCCTCTCCTATGACGTGACAAAAGCCAAGATATGGAATGTCAGTATCGGATAGCAAAATCACCTTCAGTCATAGGTTATTAACTCTGCAGTACTATTTAATACTGTATTAGTTTGCTTAGTAGATCTATCATTCAGTAAAACACTGTTGTTTACTGGGTAGCAATATATTATAACCAGCTAAAACAGATTAATTCCTTCGGTAGATTAACTGCTAGTTTATGTAATTCTAGCTCTTAGAAGTTTATTCTTCAATCACTAAATAAAGCGATATCATGTGATTTCACAGGTTCTTAACAGCTATAGACTAACTCAGTTTTTAATGACTATATAAGAACAAAAAATGACATACTTTAGATGTTTAAGTTAGTTTGTATTTCCCGACTAAACTGACTGAACTAGAATTAAATGCTCAGCATTATAGTGGGAATACCGTCAATCAGGGGGAAGAAAGGTACATCTAATTGACAAGACCCAAATAAGACGTGATGCACTTCCTGGATTTCACTGTTAGTTATCATTAACCAAATAACACTCTTTCGATGTTTGAACAAATACAGAGAAAGTGTTATAAATTAAGAAATTCAAAACCCAAAATATCAAATGATGAAACATAAGCATTTTCACATCAAATTGTCATAAAGAAAAAATGTGAATTACGAGGTTTTATGTTCAAGATACATTAGATTAGGTGCTGTCGTTTTCTGCAGCAAATTTTGTCAGTTCTGCTTTATCAATATTTTGATAAAATAATTATATTTTCATTTAATTAGTTCATTTATTTTAGATAATAATAAATTAGTTTGTTTATATTATATATGTATATATATTTTTTCAAACACCAGATTAAATGTTCAGCTGCAATTATTACAAAAAGAAGAAGCTGAGCAGACAGAATTTATTGAACGTTTTCTTATGGGTCGTTGAAATACAGACGGAAGGCATACTGAGAGTACTGATAACTGATTGTTTCTGAGCATTGTATTTACTGATATTTCTTTGATTCATAAAATATATACTTACTCAATTCAATTCATTTTATCAAGTATTGGTTTACAGTAACCTGATTGTTTACAGGTTTGATCGTGAGATGACACCAGGTAGTGACCTTATGGTTACAAGGCGAGCTCGTACACCACTCAGTCACTGGGAACTAATCTAAAGGACCGTGAATTTCAGCTCCTACCAATTTGCGACATTTAATGCAACAACCGGTCAATACGACAGGCGAGTAGTTGTCCTCTTTTCCGAGTTCATGGTTATGACTTCATACTGGAACTCTAGGTAACTTCCCAGAAAGAACCAGTCGCCAGTAAGCATCAGATTAATTATCAAGCGTTGATTTGTGGGGATTTTATGGTTACAGGATTGGATGGTCTACGAGTTCGCCTTGTAACCGGAAGGTCCTGGGTTCGAACCCTGGTGTATGTATACTGCTGGAGAGTCTCGGAATGGGACAAAACAACTGATATTAGCTCGTGATCATTCTATTTTGTTTGATTTTAGGTAGTTTTAAGAAGGAAAGTTACGTTGTCAGCTCTTTTGTTTTATGAGAGTAATGTTAAGTTTACTGTTGTATTTAGGCGAGAAGTGCTGGGATAAACTATATGAGAAGGTTTCGATTATATGATTGGAGGTTTCTTGGAAGCATTGTGTTCGCATGTATAATTTTAATATTAGACATACGGAATCAAGGGAACAAAAAATTTCTGGAAATATGCTTACAAAAATGCAATTACCTAGGTGATTAGAATATATGTTAGCTACGTATTAACTTATATAAGAATTATGGCTGTATAAATCAATCAGCAGCCAACTTTTTGTGAAACTATTCGGTTACACAGTGTTCAGAGTCCGTATAAAATACGTACCAATTTACTGATTTTTAGCTTCAGGTATCAATGTAAGCTTCATGATTGAAGCTTCGAAGGCGAAAGTAGAAAATGGTTGAAACTCTCAAGTGATATAGTAAATAAAGCCATGAAGTGATATTTTCTGACTGTCTTTGTTACATATCTCCGCTAATTATAGCGTCGGAGTCCGTTGCTATGGTGGCTTAATAACAAGATATATCTTTTGTACGCTTTTTAAATGTAATTTTGAACTTAAAAAGGTTTCCTGACATACATGATATTGGTAGCATAATGCACTTGAACTGATTCACATTCGCTGCACTTGTATCATAAAATGTTGCTCGGTACTGATATCTTCTCAATGGAATAGATTAAAGGAGGTAGTCAGTTGAAAAGTTAAACGCAAATGATTGAATTTCTATGAAACGATGCAAGTATATTTGGCCTGTTTATTGAAACGCACTAATACCCACCGGATAAAGCGGGTGGCGCCACTTCAAAAAAAGGATATTCCAAATCACAACCCATAATTGCTGTTTCCTTGTGTTCTCTATGTCTAGTAAACAAACTAATATGAAAAATAGGGGTGAAAGAGAAGTTTTTCTAGATGCAGCTAAAGGTGATCAGAACAACATGTATGGAGTCATATAGAGTTTAGGAAATGCATTTATATTTCGCCTTCATGTAGGTTTACCCCAATTGATTTCTAGTGTGTTACACTACTTAGGTAACAGTTCAAATTACAACTGTATTAAACCTAATTCTGTATCGTCCTGTTCGTTAGAATCACTGTTGTTCACAAGGAATCACCAATGTACTCCAATTTTCACGTGATGCAGAGATATCTCCTACAAAGCGTTATCAGATCAAATGAAATTTCAGTGTATCATTTTTTGTTCTTAGTTTTACGTAGCTCTTGTAAGATAATCCAAAACACTTTCCATACATGTGTATTTTATTGTCTGTAAGGCATTTCATTTATATGAAACTGCCATTTGTAGGATACTTCGCTCGTACGACGTCAGCAAATTTCCATATTTTTAAACGTCTGTTAAAGTATCCTGTCACATTTTACCCAGACACCTTTCAGATTGATTTCCTAGAAATGTCCCTTAAGGATGCATTACGAAACAGACTTGATTCGTCCCTAACAACAACAACAACAACCGGTTTTTGATAGAGAAAATTACTTGATGTCACATTTTCCCTATCAGGTAATTTTCTATTCGTGGGCATGTACTATAACTTTACAGATGAGGATGGATTTCCCACCGATGACATTGGTTGGTGTCAGTCGCGCTAAATCACGAATTGGTAAAAGTTGGAATTCATGGACTAGCCATTGAATTGGGTCCCAGTGGCTGAATGGTATACGAGCTTGCCTTGTAACCCTGGCGATGGGTGTCTACTGCCGGTTTTCAATGGTTCTCTAAATGATATCGATCCGTGGTCAAACTCGATGAACAAATCAACTCTTGAAGATGGAAATATGTTTAGTTTTTATCAGCCTTGTGTGCTTTTCACGCATGACACCCTAAAGGGCCTTGAGAGTAGTTATAGAAATGAAGGTTTCAATAAATGTTACATTGTTAACAAACAACATTCCCTACGAAGTTTATATTCGTATTAAATTCGTTTAAATTCATATTCTTAAAGAGAATTAATTAAAGAGAATTGAAATGTTACTTTGAAATATTCAAATGAATTCATAAGTTTTACTTTGACAAAAAAAATAAACAAGTGTTTGTTACATGTAACGCAAAACAGAATAATTTGAATTTGTTTGTAATAATATAAAACTTTCATATTTAATTTAATACTAATTATCTAGTTATCTGCGGAACCAATCTCTACTTTGAAAATTTCAGCCATTTCAAGCTTAATTAAAACAAGTTAGAAAATATCCAAGTTAATAAGATCATTGTCTGGAATTGTAGATATTTATTGTGTCTTTAGGAATATTAATATCAAGGATAAAACTATGATATCTTTGGATATAAAATCTTTATTCACAAATTTACCTCTAGTAGAAATGGTTAACTACAAATGTGAACAAGTGTAAAATCAGTGTACCATGAATGCAAATTTCAAATTTGAGGGCACACTTTACAGGCAAGTGGACGGGATGGCGATGGGCTCCCCATCGGGTCCCATTTTAGCAGATTTCTTCCCTATGAACAACCTTACCAAAAAATTCTTTTATTGCCGGTATATCGATGACACCTTTACTCTTTGTGATAATGATTCCGATAGGAACATAATGGTAAATGAATTCAATGAAGTATATTCTGCTATGAAATTCAAGTGCGAAGAGGAATCCCGAAACTGAATTACCTTCCTAAATGTTCTCCTTACAAGAAAACCAGATAGTTGTATAAACAGAAATTCACACAGGAAAAGTATATGGACAGGACAATATACACATTTTCATAGCATCGTTCCTCTTCAGTACAAAAGAAATTTAGTAAGGATCGTCAGCTACAGGGTTAGAGCTATATGCTGAGAAGAGGTAATTGAAGATGAACTAGGGATTGTATATGATACCTTGATTAAAAATAGCTATCCCGACAAATTCATCAGGAAACATATGACTAAGAAAGTTGAAAAGGATTATTCACTATCCGTAAACAAGAAGTCTTTATATATACGACTGCAACTCAAGTGCGATATACCTTTCGAAATAGTTACGAAGTTAGGAAAATCTGTTCAAGGAACTTTTAATGCTGGTAAATTGCAAGTCTTATTTTCTACATGACCAATGGTGATTTCTCAATTGAAAGATTAATTACCTAAACTAGCCACTTCTAATTGTATCTGCCAATTCAACAGCGCTTGTGGAGCGAGTTATGTCTGCCGTTGCTCTAGTAACTTGATTTTTCGTGCTTGGGAACATCTACATGTGTGGTTAAATAAAGCTGTAGTTAGAGGCGTCAACAGTTTGATATTAGAACACCTGGTGCAAACAGATCACAAAGTTAACATTAACGAATCTTTCTCTATCATCTACCGGGTATCAAATAAATTGCCAAAAACATTCAGGTACTGCATACTCCAAACAGTAAAAGCTATTGTGATTCTTCTAAAACAATGGGTGATCTGTGTACAGAAGAAGCAAGTTCAGCCAACTCTACTGCCCTGGCCTTCAGTGGATACCATAAATTCATGAATTTGTATCATTATCTTTCTTAATTTCTCCGATATTCAGCCTATTGTTAAGTTGATACTATCGAACTGTGATCTATTGATATTATTATTGATTCGATGTTATTGAAACATCATTGTTGTTAATAACACTAATACACTCACTATTATGTATGCATAACTATAGAATCTGATTATGAAATTATCGTAAAGAATATTCTTCGTTCACTAACCATTACTTTGAAAATCATTTACTTCTGACTCCTGTTCATTAGGTCCCAAATTGTACTATCTACTTATGAGTAATATGAAATGTAACAGTGAATTTTCAGCCTGAGGAGGAATATGTTCCAAAAAGTAGACACCCTATAAAATGGGACTGCTGAAGAGTCCCAAACTATGGTGAAACAGCTGTCCAGTACTTTCATGTTTTCCAATGGTTCTCTAACCGATGTCAGTTCATGACGAAACCCTCCAACTAATCAAACACAGTCTCTACAAACCCAGTACTTGAAAATTAGAACTATTAACCAAAAGAATGAAGTAGACAAATTCTAATGACTCGTAGGTTGTTTTAAGAAGTGTCTCGAAAATATATTTGCTCATATTTTCATTATATAGCCGATAATGAAGTTAAGGATATTAGAATTTACATGGTGTTTTCAAGAGAGCGTAACCTTTTCTGAATTAAATATTAAAGATACCCATAGTAAAATTTAGAACAACACATGTAAGCGAACAACACTGCTTCCAGTTATATTTCATCAGTCTTCATTCTAATATACATAACTTAATGAAATGAAACAAAATGATAGCTAAATAAACTGGTAAATCTAAAACTGATTGCACTATTTGGAAATAATATAGTCCCTTCTATGTTAGTCATGTTTTTTCATTGTTGCCTGTTGCTTATTAGGTTCTTTTCAGAACTATAACTTCATGTTTCTTCTGCACCAAATGTTTCATGAGCACAAATAATCAATATTTCTCCAAAGACATTACGGTGCATACTACTTATACTCACTTGTAAG